TAGAGTGGCACAACACAATATTTGCAGCATAACCCGGCTGCACTCGCAGATGGTTATGACATGGAAACATCTCTTTCAAAATTCCCAATGCTCCTTATATCACGTGCATTGTTCCTTTATGACATCGATTGTATGTTCGTTCTGCTTCATTATTTGGATCGTGGTGAATGGGTGTCATTAGCCATTCCTTTAGAGGATAAGCGGAATCGCCTAATATGACTGCATTTGGAAATATGTTTCGACGTACCAGTCTTCTGTAAAGGCTGCTGTTCCGGAGGACACGCACATCATGGACACTTCCGGGCCAATTGGCACTTACATAGAAGAACGTTTTTCTACTACCACAAACAAACATGCAGTTTATGGAATGTTCTTCCCATCGATCCAGAAATGCAGCTTCGTGATCAATGGGAGCATCAATAGGTATGAGAGATCCATCTATCACTCCACACACATTCGGAAAATGCGCTATTTCATAAAACCTTCGTATCTCCTCTTCATTATTTTCGGGCCATGATATAACACGATTAAATAAAATACTATTTATTGCAGTAGTTACATTTGTTATAGAGCGACATACTGATGCTTTGTTCACCCCATGCATATCGGCTGCTATTGTATGGTATTGAGCACCACTTCCAAGCCAATGTAAAGTTATACACACTTGCTGTTTCACAGAAAGGACGCCACTTTTTCTTGTACCTATTATGTTGAATTCTATAGCCTATGTGTTCAATTAACCATTCTACTTTTTCTGAGACATTCGAAATCGTTCCAAATATTCCGCTCTTGTTTCAGAATTAAAATTGATTCTTGCTCGAAAAATTTTCCGGCGGCGCGGGGTCTAACCATTTCCTTAGTGATCCCACTCACTACTTGAAGTAAACAATAAATTTTCTAACCCATGTTCTTGAGCGTGGTGTAAAGAAAATCCTCGAAAATATGTTCACTAATAGAGATATCACTAAATTGTAGGTGAACCTAGACTTAAGTATAGACATTAACTAGTGAAATAAAAAAATTTACAGACTAATTTTTTTCATAACCACTAATTGTGCAACAAGTAGGTATTTGTGAAATGAGTGCAAATTACAATAATATTTTTATTCTACAACTTGTTAATTCAAATTACTAGCTTAACCATTGTGCAACAAAATCTCACAAACTACAACCTACAAGTATAGTACTATTAGTTTCTAAATCATTGTGCAACAGGCCCCAGAACTACATTTTCCACTGACTGACACGTGGTCTCCTACTTTTGTCAGCACACCCGTCCACACTGCGCCGATAACTTGTCGTTAAATACACAGACTCGATCTTTACCGAATTTGGAAACAAACCAAAAATGTTGCAGAAATGTATCGGATTTGTCGTTGTTGACAAGAGGTTTATCATAGTATCTTAACGAACAACAGTGAAATGTAAAATGGAACAAATATCAGGAGTCACACTTTCATACACTGGTCACTGGTCATACAAGACAGTGCTAAGATCCACACCACTGCGTATATATAGAAAACCAACTTATTATTAATCTCACCAAAGTATCTTTGCAATATTAACGAAGTCCAAGCAACAGCCATAAGGCAGAAACAGACAAAGATCAGATCCAACTATCCAGATGAATTGAAATCGGTATGGAAAAACATGTGTAACGGCGTATTTAAGTGTTATACTCTGGCGGAGTATAACACTTATATGCCGCTCAAGCTGAAAGTCATTGAAGTGACACTTATACCCTGTCAAAATGATCACAAAAATTACTGTTACATGACGTTTGAAAATAAAATAATATTTTTTCTACTGACGTTTCATAATAGCAACTTTTCGATTGTCATTTCAGTTTTGAAACGACATTCTTTTAGGCACTGAGTGCGTGAAAGTTACTTTTAGGCACTCAGTGCGTAAAAGTGACTTTTGAATGCGTAAAAGTGACTTATGAGTGCGTAAAAGTAATTTTTAAGCACTAGTGCCTAAAAGTGTCATTCATTATTCAGAAATAAAAAACACACTGAACACATATTTGAATTTTGTTTTGTATTTATTATGAATATTGAAAATGGAATTACTGAATTGAACGTTTGGGTTACTCAAAACAGAACTTTGTGTTATTACCTACTTTCTAGGATTTTAATTATTGATGTCGAATTTTGAAAAGAAAATCGCAAGAAAAGTGTCAGGTGTCAAGTAAAAGCAGGTAACAAAGATTTTGGGTGTAATCGACTTATTCACATGAAATAAAATTGTGTTTTTTTATTATAAAATGCCAGTAGAAAAAATCTTGTATACAATACGTTACGAAACGATGTCTTTTAGTCACTCGACGTGTTGTCCAACTCGGCTTTGCCTCGTTGGACAATTTTCACGTCGCGTGCGCGTGCCTAAAAGACGCTCATTTCGTAACTTATTGTATAAATAGCTATTTTCTACGAGCGTGCGGGAAATGGCTCTTCCCGCACGATTTGCTGTGCGGGAAGACTTTTTTCCCGCACCGGTGCGGGAAGAGATTTCTTCCCGCACTCAGTGCGGGAAGAGTTTGAAATAATAATTGTGACATGGAATTGTTTGTATTGTTGATACAAACAAGTACATACCTGTACCTTTACCTTTTTATAAATACCTTTCAATACATTTTTAATTATACCTTCTGCATAATCGCATTTTATTTAAATTAAACTCTCCGTAACATCAGCTTTAGTATGCTCGTAGAAAAAATATAGTTCCTAACTCTTGCGGGAAGAAATTTCCCGCACTCGTTAGGAAAATAGCTATTTTATTTTCAAACGTCATATAACAGTAATTTTTGGAATCATTTTGAGAAGGTATAAGTGTTACTCCAATGACTTTCAGCTTAAGCGGCCGGCGTATAAGTGTTATAATCCGCCAGAGTATAACATTTATACGCCGTTACACATATTTTTCCATAGCGATTTAAGGTAGTTTACCTGTACAAAAAGGTATGGGTGCTTATAAAGGTGATCCTTCAAAATATAAATGTCATAATTTAAATTTAAATTCTGCACTATTCGGAATAAATATTGTTTGAAAATAAAACAGTGGAGAAGCATACCTATACTCGTACATTGGAGAAACAGTTATACGATCAATATAAATCAGAATAAAAGTAAAGAAGATCAACATACAAAATGTTAAAATTAAATTCAACTTCCTTCGTTATTTCAGCTTTATTCGATAAGATAAGTACAAATTCAAAGTTTTTAAATGCAATTAATGATTTGATTGTTTATCAATTTTTAACATAGAAATAAAAAGGACTAACAGCTAGAACGGATAGCACAAAATACGTATACTTTGGACAAATGCCAATATTTATTAATATAAAGGGCGGGATCATTCAGTTCAAGAGAAAATTCGAAGTACCTACCTAATGTTAAGCACCTTAAATGTACTGTTTAAGGCCCTCTGATCTAGTCTAACAAAGAAGGATCAAGGATCTATATCCAACAAAATTGCCATCAACAATAGTTTTCTTACAATAATTAATTCACACCCCCTTTTCTCCGCAAGTATTCCCACACCGTAGGTTCACCTATGAGTTTAGTCATAAGAAAATTTTCATTCGCTTGAAAACAATCGAAGATACACGTCGATCAAAACTGAAGACGTGAAAAGTAAAACAACTTCTTCGTGATGAAAGTTTATGTGATTTAGATTGTGATAAAAATGGATTTTGATTGATGGTGGCACGATGACATATGGGTACCCATATTTAGGATAACAGAAACATTTTCAATGTTAAAAGAATAATGGAAGTCCAAAACTATTTTGCTTCTTTATTTCACTTCAGTTCTCAGAAAATTGACTTCAAAGCCAAGAGCGCTGCCGGCTTTTTTAACTTTTGTTTTAAGAAGCTGTTAAAGCGCCATTTGTTGCACTCCGGGACGCCACTGGAGTAAACAAGGCAGGTTTAATTTAATTCAAAAACAGTCTGCTATTATTACAAGTAAAGTATATAAAAATGTTTCGACTTTCTAGTAACATCAAATTGGATGAGCAATTTCAATTAATTGACAATAATAATAATTATAATTACAGGTTCTAATAAATACTTATTCAAGGAAAAAAGACATTGAATATACATTTATTTCACGCGTTGTATTCGGATACTAAGTGGATTAAGGATTATTAATCCATATTCGTTTATATCACAGAATGAATTATGAATAGTGTTAATCCTTATTCTTAAGCCTTATTGTTTGTGTCTTACTTCATTGAAGGCAACAATGATGAAAAATAGTTAAAATTACAAGTGAAAAATGTGATTTTTTCTTGAAGTTAGCAACATAAACTTCTTAACTCCCAGATAAAGGTGTTTATTTCACATTTGAGATAATCCATTTTAAATCCAATCCTACAAGTTTGGAGGATTGGATTAGGTACTCCGATCCGGATAAACTCTTTAAACCTGGGTGTTTATTTCAGGATTATTAATCCAATCCACTTAGTATCCGGATACAACGCATGAAATAAACGTAGTCACACTATTGCTTATATTTTGAAGTTGTTATCCAGTCTTTATCAGTAAACAAAACAATTAAAAAATGCAGCTAGTTAGGCATCAACTAATGACTAATTATTATGATCCCTATATCAGTGTTGGATAAACAAGTTTTAATAACAGTTTTTGAACTATGATATATTTTTTCCCAAGATGGATTTTGACATTGAAAACTTTGAAACATAAACAATATCGCTTGGCCCTGATTGGTCGCAAAATGAGGTGTTCTTGCAGGTTGACATCAGATTTACAATGCATGTCGTGCAAATGGCATCTTGCGACCAATTAGCGGCATTGTTTATGTTTTAAAGTTGACAATGTCAAAATCTATCTTGGGGAAAAATAAACTGTAGTTATTTTTTTCTTGTATCAAATAATGTGCATTCTTTGCACTATTTAGCCCATTGATCTCATATTGGCAGGACAATACCTATATTTGATGTTTTGATTAAAAAGAGAATAAACAAATTTTCCTTACCTAAAACAATCTTGTCCAAATAAGACATTTCCACAATAGCATCAAAACTCATTTCCCCATTGTATTTCTCCAAAACACTATCGATTTCTTGCCTCAATTTTTCTTGAATCTCCAAATTTTGAGCCAACTCGAATAGAGCGCAGGTCATTGCCGTCGACGAAGTTTCAAAGCCACCAATAAAAAATATAAAACATTGCGCTGTAATTTCCTCGATAGTCAAGCTTTTGTTCGACGACTCCTTTTTCAAATCCAGCATTATTTGTAGAAAGTCTTTCCGGACGATGTTATTGTCTTCTCTGCATTTAACTGTCTCTTTGACCATTTTACAAAAAAAATCTCTTACATCTGAAGCTCCTTGTTGAAATTCAATTTTTCTAAGTATTGACCATGGTACTATTCCGGTTATAAAAAAATTGAAGAAATTTACTTGAAGTGCTTTCATTCCATAAAATCTAAACTGGCAGTCAGAATCCTCTAGTGAGTTACATTCAATACCAAAAGCTACATTTCCAATAATGTCTATAGTGAATCTGCTCAAAATATCTTTAAAAGGAGCTGGTTTGTTATTATCAGAATATTTTCCAATAACTTTCTCCAGGATAGTGCATTTAGTAAAAAAAATATCTTGCATTGTTTTAATTTTTCCGGAAGAAAATGCTGGAGTTAATTTGGATCTCAACTCTTTCCAAGCGTCTCCTTCTAAATTAAACAAATGCATCGATAAAAGTTCAGATTTATCATAATAAAATCCATGGCCAAAAAAATACTGAAAATCCTTAAGCATAATATGCTTAATTAAATTTAGGTCTATCGGGATATACATTGGTTCGAGCATAGAATAAATACCTCCATGTTTAACGCCTTTACGTTTAAATTGGTTGTAAAAATCCAAATAGCCTTCACTGAATGATGTTTTAGCTTGCATTATTTTCCGAAAATTACCGAAAAAGAACTCGGTATCTTCTAAATACGGTACGCCTTTTCTTTTCCAATAGGTTAAACGCCATTTTATAAACACTATAACAATTATTGTTGTGATTGTGATTATTTGGAGCCACATTGTTACAGACTGACCGCAAGAGCACTTCACCACTACACTAATATCCGATTCTGCTGATTATTTCATATGGCATCGTCCAATTTCATTTGGGTACCTAACCTACCCGTCGCATACGGCGGTATTTTATCGCGCTGACGTAAGAATATTGATGTTGGGTCAACAAGGCAGTACCACAGACTTTACTCAGCCCCATGAGACTAGTACCTGCCCACCTAATTTAAAATTGGTTACGTGCCTCGTTGGCCAAGTCGATCATCATATGTAGGTGTAAATATCGTAATCTATTTTTAACTTGTTTTAAAAGAAGCCGCGGTCTTGGATAGTGCTATTTGACTAATGCCCTAATGCCTTCAGTTATAGACAGAATTTTCTCGTCAGTCCCATGTCTTAAGTAAATTTTTATTGAAATTTAAAAATTTGTTATTTAAAATAGGCAATGAGGTAAAAGCTTGACTGTAAATTCAAGTTTAAAATTCATTCCCTATATTTAAATTTCTGATTTATTTCATCCATTTGCCATGTAAACGCATACCTATTATTTGAATTTAAAGATAAAATATCATTACCTATTTGTCTTGAAACTAAGAAGCGTAAACAAATTTAATTAATAGCCAGGGTCAAAGTTTATTTAATTTTATCTTTTCATTATCAAGAAATTGAGTGCAACGAAAATGCACTTTTTGGAGGCTCAATTTATAAGTAGGGTGTTGGAAACAGGGCCGGCTCCAGGACCCGTGCAGCCTGTGCCCCTGCACGGGGCGGCAAAATCGAAGGGCGGCAAAAATCTCGGGAAGAATTGTTGCCTGCCCTGTAGAAAAAATAAATAAAACATGTTCGGGTTTTTTAAACTCTGATTAATTCCAAACGATCTGAGCACAGTTTTAAAGACTGAATAAGTACGCAACTTGTTCTGCGCAGTTCCATGATGGTTCACGAACAGTTCGAAAAACGAGAACCGTTCTCGAATACATTTACAGTTACTGAGTAAAATTATTGGACTCTAAGTACATATTTACTTATTTGGCCACAAGTACATTTCCAAACAAGTTGAGAGACACAAAAATCACTTATCAGTCAAAAAAACTAGTTGTTAGTGATCTGCACCAATCAAAAACGCTCTAACTGGTTTGTGATTTCTGTGAGAACCGTGACTTCAATTTTCTGGCATTTCTTGTGTAGCGTACAGATGCGTAGCATTGGTTCCGTTGCTCATTGTAATTTGCAAACGAAAACCTTGAACTTTTCTGTGCACTATGATGTGTCTGAGAACGTAGATTTGAAAATTCTGAGCCCTTATAAACTCTGGACTCTGGCCAACCAAACCAAACCGTAAAATGCTGAACTGATTTATAGTAAACCAAAATGTGTTTTTCAATAGACCTATCTATTTTTACCTGTATGCGCGCGCAACACGAGGCAATGCATTTTTATTGGCTAACTAGTACAGGTGTAAAATAATACTTTTGCACGCTGAGCATCTCCTTGTCCTTGTTCATTGCCCGTGGTCTGACAAGGATACAATTATGCTTGATATTCAACTTGACGCAGCTTGACAAGTGATCGATTTTCAATTGTTTGTGTTTTTGATTGACAGATTGGTTGCACGTCACGCGGTTTTCCTCCTTCCTTTTTTATCCCGTGCAAATAATAAGAACGGATTGCTATACGTAAGTCTAACATAATTTGGTACGTTTTGCCTCTTCTTGCGCAATAAGCGTTCTGCGTCTTTTTCTATCTGATAAAGATTTCGTATTATTACCTCTTTGTCTGGTAAAATAGATAGGTCTATTTTAGATGTATGAACATCTATACCGGCGGTTTGAGGGTAAATTCTGGGAAATGCTACGGAAGTGTGAAAGAGGATGTGACGTAATAACCCATGCGCAGTGATAAGTGCGCAGCTACATCAGCGCTTGCGGCTTAAGGTGGCATTAGACTTTCGTGTCAATAATCAAGGGCGGTTTAAAAGGGGAGGTGCGTAACAACTTTAAAACGTCATTGATATACAGGTGGCATTGTGTGGAATGTATTCATAAATGTACTCGGTAGTTTGAGTAATTGGGTATTGAATACTTGTAATTGTACTTTGTACTCGAGTACATTTTGAGTGAAGGAGTTGTACCCGGTACCCGAGTACATTTTGCCTGTACTCGAAACAGCTCTGATATCACTGATAAGGACACTGAACAAAATTAAAACCTAAAGTAAGTTTAGCAAATAGGTAGTACCGAGAGTAGTACTAGAACTACAAAGTAGGAAAATAATCGGTACCTAAGAGGGGCGGCAAAAATACCTTTTGCACGGGGTGCCGAAATGTCTAGAGCCGGCCCTGGTTGGAAAAATGTAATTTCAGGTGCGTGTTCACAATATCAAATTTAGAAAAAGTGCAAACAATTCAACATTTTTGTCAGCGTGAACTTTAAATAAAAATAATGAATTACTATTACAAGAACACGCAAAATCAGAAAAACAATAAAAATGGTCAAGAATAAAAACGCAAAAAATGACAATGTGTTGATAATAATTGGGAACAGCACCACATAATAAACAAGAAATAAAATGTAATTCATATCTTCTAAGCTAAGAAAGGATGTAGCAAAAATTACATGCATTGCCTGACCCCTGACCCGCACTTTCTTCCAAATACTTTACCTACTCATATTGAGTGAGCCGATCACCTGATTCAATCAGTACATTAAAGTTGCCTGCATGGCTTACCATCATTAGCAAACTCTTCTTATTGTACCAATTCTTCTAGTTTAAATTTTCATCATTATTATTCATGCATGCTCTAATGCAGCGCCTCAGTTTTCTAATTCAGTTGATGATACACATCTAATTTCCCTTCCTATTAATGCTAATCGAGACTCTCACAAGAGCCCTATGGACGCGTAGTGCACACCCAGTAACACGTCTTAGCAAAAAACAACGAATATTTGTGCGCGAATGTGCCAGTAATCTTTCCACGTATGGAAGAATAACCAACTTCTTACAAGTTATTATACAACCATCAAGCATCTTTGAGATGGTTTGTGTAAAAACAATTATTTATGTTTCTTCTTTCTAAAAAGTCGTTCACGCACCTACAGAGTTGATCGTGGTTTGATTTCTCTTCCAGTCAACAGCATCGAGTCGATGATGTATAGAAAGTTCATTCGCGTTGAGAGAATCTATGAACCAGAAGAAGGTAAAGGGGCACCGCAGCTACAGTTTCATTATTACTCATTCAAAAACATCAAGAGGTATGAATTGATGGTCCGATTGTACATCTCGACCATTCCATCGGACTGTGAATGAAGTGGAGTCTTTCTCGTATCACTTATTTGCAGTAGTCGTATCACCCTGATCGGTATCTGGCAATGATGTTATCCAGCAATGCTTCAGCAATTGTAATCCGTCCTTGATGGAGAATTTTATTTTCTTCTGGTCACTGCCACTGGAGATAAATCCATAGCAACCAATGGGAGGTACTTGCTACCCGAATCTGTTGCAGGCAAAGGATCCGCAATATCTACAGCATTTCTCTCCTGTCAGGGGTAAGAAGTTGATACAGTAATACATAGATCTCTTTATCATCAAAACGTCTAATCCCAACTAATGAAGAGAACCTTCCAGGGACACAGTGTGGCTTAAGACCCAACAGAGGTACAACTAACATATTATTTTCAATGCAAGACAAATGCAAGACAAATCCAGAGAAAAAAATCGCCCCCTCTTCAGGGTATTCATAGATTTAGTGGAAGCATTTGATTCAATCAACAGAGAAGCTCTTTGGAAGATATTGGCAAAGGTTGGGTGTCCGCAGAAGTACATCCAGATACTCTCCCTGTTGCAAGATATTATGAATGCAACCGTCCTAAGCAACAATGGACGAGAAGAAACTTTTCAAATGACTACAGGCATTAAACTGGATTGTCTTATTGCACCCACTCTATTTTTTCTATTTATAGGATCCATACTTCACCTTGTCGAGGGTCACCTGCTGTCAGGAGTGGAAATCTTGTACAGACTTGATGGCGGCCTATTCAACCTAAACAGATGACGAGCCAAGACGAAAATATCAGCGACATCGATAATTGAACTTCAATATGCGAATGATAACGTCGTGATGATGGCCAATACGGAGGAAGACATTTATGAAGCGTCCTATTGCTATGGATGGAAATTTCTAGTGTTGTCTAAATAAACCTTTTAATTATTTCCTTTGTGTAACATGCCTAACAGTATTTCACCCTCCTAGTTGTTCAGAGAGGAGGAAACACACAACAATAAGCAGTTACAAAATATATTGCTCCAGCATCTGTCAACAGGAAGGGGACGACTTTGAAGATAGGATTAATAAGTAGAAGAAAGAAATTGAAAAATTAAAAAGCGACATTAAATTAAAGGAAATATATTTTCAAAGACACAAAAGATTATCCCTCGACCTGGAATCCAATGCGTGTAAGGTCGAGCAGAGATATGAGTAGCAGTTAAAAAAATACAAGGCTAATATACATATGTGAACTCAATAAAATAATAAAGGATCTAGGTGTGAAAAACAATATACTGGAAGGCGATTTCAAGGAAAACCTCACTGAATTTGAAAAATCTAAGAACGAAATAAGCTGTAAAAAAATTGATGGCATGAAAACATCCATACATACCCTAAGTGAGGAAAATAAAGTGCTGGCAACTGAAGTAGAAGATCTAAAGCTGGCAATAAGTAAGTACTACTTCTAAACTCAGTCAGAGCTTGGATGGATCAAATGTTTAGAAAAAAGATGCGGCTACTTCAACAGAAGAACAGTTGGAAGAAAAGAAGGATATCTTGAGGAAGCTAAGTTATGGTCAGACGTCAGACCTCCAGCAAAGAAGAAAGAACAACCGACGAAAGGTATAAAAATAGAAACAAGTTAGTTTTTTTAGGTGACGAATATGGTAAGCGTATAGTCCAATACCTCACTCGTCATTCAATTAATAACAAAACCATTTGCTAGGTTTAGGGACTTGGTTTCTAGTGCCGATTGTTATGTGAACAATTTATCTTCCAAGAACTATGTAGTTATTCTTGCAGGAATTAATGACAGCAATATTGGATTGGGTGATATTACATTGTTGGCAAATAAATTGTAGGGAACAAATAAAAATTGATATTTTTAAATGGTAAACTACTTGAAGTGTTCTGAATCCCTTTATTTCAATTCTTC